TGGACTAAGCATAATTTCACACTTTTTAGTGGTTACGAAATTAACTATAAAGTTTCAATTTACCCCAAAAGAAATAAAATTTTAAAATATCAAATTCCCACCCTGGATTTGAACCCACAACCTCCAGATTTAGAGTCGGCAGTCCGTACCATTGGACTAAGCATAATTTCACACTTTTGAGAGGTTACGAAATTGACTATAAAGTTTCAATTTACCCCAACAGAAATAAAATGTTAAAGTGTAAAATTACCACCCTGGATTTGAACCCGCAACCTTCAGATTTAGAGTCAGCAGTCCGTACCATTGGACTAAGCATAATTTCACACTTTTTAGTGGTTACGAAATTGACTATAAAGTTTCAATTTACCCAAAAAGAAATAAAATGTTAAAATGTAAAATTCCCACCCTGGATTTGAACCCACAACCTTCAGATTTAGCGTCAGTAGTCTGAACCACTGCACAAAGCATGATTTCATGCTTTTTGTGGTGACAAAATTCACTATAAAATTTCAATTTACCCAAAAAGAAATTAAATTTTAAAATTTAAATTTCCCACCCTGGATTTGAACCCACAACCGTCAGTTTTAGAGTCAACAGTCTGAACCACGGCACTAAGCATGATTTCACACTTTTGAGTGGTTACGAAATTGACTATAAAGTTTCAATTTACCCCAAAAGAAATACAATTTTAAAATATAAAATTCCCCCCCCCCCTGGATTTGAAACCACAACCGTCAGTTTTAGAGTCAACAGTCTGAACCACTGCACTAAGCATGATTTCATGCTTTTTGTGGTTACGAAATTAACTATAAAGTTTCAATTTACCCCAAAAGAAATCAAATTTTAAAATATCAAATTCCCACCCTGGATTTGAACCAGCAAACTCCAGATTTAGAGTTGGCAGTCCGTACCATTGGACTAAGCATAATTTCACACTTTTTAGTGGTTACGAAATTAACTATAAAGTTTCAATTTACCCCAAAAGAAATACAATTTTAAAATATAAAAATCCCACCCTGGATTTGAACCCACAACCTCCAGATTTAGAGTTGGCAGTCCGTACCATTGGACTAAGCATAATTTCACACTTTTTAGTGGTTACGAAATTAACTATAAAGTTTCAATTTACCCCAAAAGAAATACAATTTTTAAATATAAAATTCCCACCCTGGATTTGAACCCACAACCCCCAGATTTAGAGTCGGCAGTCCGTACCATTGGACTAAGCATAATTTCACACTTTTTAGTGGTTACAAAATTAACTATAAAGTTTCAATTTACCCAAAAAGAAATCAAATTTTAAAATTTAAAATTCCCTCCCTGGATTTGAACCAGCAAACTCCAGATTTAGAGTTGGCAGTCCGTACCATTGGACTAAGCATGATTTCATGCTTTTTGTGGTTACGAAATTAACTATAAAGTTTCAATTTACCCGAAAAGAAATAAAATTTTAAAATATCAAATTCCCACCCTGGATTTGAACCAGCAACCTCCAGATTTAGAGTCGGCAGTCCGTACCATTGGAATAAGCATAATTTCACACTTTTGAGTGGTTACGAAATTGACTATAAAGTTTCAATTTACCCAAAAAGAAATAAAATGTTAAAATGTAAAATTTCAACCCTGGATTTGAACCCACAACCTTCAGATTTAGAGTCAGTAGTCTGAACCACTGCACAAAGCATGATTTCATGCTTTTTGTGGTGACAAAATTAACTATAAAGTTTCAATTTACCCAAAAAGAAAAAAAAATTAAAATATCAAATTCCCACCCTGGATTTGAACCAGCAAACTCCAGATATAGAGTTGGCAGTCCGTACCATTGGACTAAGCATAATTTCACACTTTTTAGTGGTTACGAAATTAACTATAAAGTTTCAATTTACCCCAAAAGAAATACAATTTTTAAATATAAAATTCCCACCCTGGATTTGAACCCACAACCCCCAGATTTAGAGTCGGCAGTCCGTACCATTGGACTAAGCATAATTTCACACTTTTGAGTGGTTACAAAATTAACTATAAAGTTTCAATTTACCCCAAAAGAAATCAAATTTTAAAATTTAAAATTCCCACCCTGGATTTGAACCCACAACCGTCAGTTTTAGAGTCAACAGTCTGAACTACTGCACCAAGCATGATTTCATACTTTTTGTGGTTACGAAATTAACTATAAAGTTTCAATTTACCCCAAAAGAAATACAATTTTAAAATATCAAATTCCCACCATCGATTTGAACCCGCAACCTCCAAATTTAGAGTCGGCAGGCCGTACCATTGGACAAAGCATAATTTCACACTTTTGAGTGGTTACGAAATTGACTATAAAGTTTCAATTTACCCAAAAAGAAATAAAATGTTAAAATGTAAAATTCCAACCCTGGATTTGAACCCACAAACTTCAGATTTAGAGTCAGTAGTCAGAACCACTGCACAAAGCATGATTTCATGCTTTTTGTGGTGACAAAATTAACTATAAAGTTTCAATTTACCCAAAAAGAAATAAAATGTTAAAATGTAAAATTCCCACCCTGGATTTGAACCCACAACCTTCAGATTTAGCATCAGTAGTCTGAACCACTGCACAAAGCATGATTTCATGCTTTTTGTGGTGACAAAATTCACTATAAAATTTCAATTTACCCAAAAAGAAATTAAATTTTAAAATTTAAATTTCCCACCCTTGATTTGAACCCACAACCGTCAGTTTTAGAGTCAACAGTCTGAACCACGGCACTAAGCATGATTTCACACTTTTGAGTGGTTACGAAATTGACTATAAAGTTTCAATTTACCCCAAAAGAAATACAATTTTAAAATATAAAATTCCCCCCCCTGGATTTGAAACCACAACCGTCAGTTTTAGAGTCAACAGTCTGAACCACTGCACTAAGAATGATTTCATGCTTTTTGTGGTAACGAAATTAACTATAAAGTTTCAATTTACCCCAAAAGAAATCAAATTTTAAAATATCAAATTCCCACCCTGGATTTGAACCAGCAAACTCCAGATTTAGAGTTGGCAGTCCGTACCATTGGACTAAGCATAATTTCACACTTTTTAGTGGTTACGAAATTAACTATAAAGTTTCAATTTACCCCAAAAGAAATACAATTTTAAAATATAAAAATCCCACCCTGGATTTGAACCCGCAACCTCCAGATTTAGAGTTGGCAGTCCGTACCATTGGACTAAGCAGAATTTCACACTTTTTAGTGGTTACGAAATTAACTATAAAGTTTCAATTTACCCCAAAAGAAATACAATTTTTAAATATAAAATTCCCACCCTGGATTTGAACCCACAACCCCCAGATTTAGAGTCGGCAGTCCGTACCATTGGACTAAGCATAATTTCACACTTTTGAGTGGTTACAAAATTAACTATAAAGTTTCAATTTACCCCAAAAGAAATCAAATTTTAAAATTTAAAATTCCCATTCTGGATTTGAACCCACAACCGTCAGTTTTAGAGTCAACAGTCTGAACCACTGCACTAAGCATGATTTCATGCTTTTTGTGGTTACGAAATTAACTATAAAGTTTCAATTTACCCCAAAAGAAATATAATTTTAAAATATCAAATTCCCACCCTGGATTTGAACCAGCAACCTCCAGATTTAGAGTCGGCAGTCCGTACCATTGGAATAAGCATAATTTCACACTTTTGAGTGGTTACGAAATTGACTATAAAGTTTCAATTTACCCAAAAAGAAATAAAATGTTAAAATGTAAAATTTCAACCCTGGATTTGAACCCACAACCTTCAGATTTAGAGTCAGTAGTCTGAACCACTGCACAAAGCATGATTTCATGCTTTTTGTGGTGACAAAATTAACTATAAAGTTTCAATTTACCCAAAAAGAAAAAAAAATTAAAATATCAAATTCCCACCCTGGATTTGAACCAGCAGACTCCAGATATTACGGAAGCCGGATAGTGCCAGGTCTCTAAGGGATGAATATATATTTTGCAAACACGTCAGAATTTTTTTGTACATCGCCGCCACTTAATATGCGGCGGCCGCAACTTATTATGTGGCGGCCGCAACTTATTATGTCGCGGCCGCAACTTATTATGTGGCGGCCGCAACTTATTATGTGGCGGCCGCAACTTATTATGTCGCGGCCGCAACTTATTATGTGGCGGCCGCAACTTATTATGTCGCGGCCGCAACTTATTATGTGGCGGCCGCAACTTAATATGTGGCGGCCGCAACTTAATAACTGGCGGCCGCAACTTAATATGTGGCGGCCGCAACTTATTATGTGGCGGCCGCAACTTATTATGTGGCGGCCGCAACTTATTATGTGGCGGCCGCAACTTATTATGTGGCGGCCGCAACTTATTATGTCGCGGCCGCAACTTATTATGTCGCGGCCGCAACTTATTATGTGGCGGCCGCAACTTATTATGTCGCGGCCGCAACTTATTATGTCGCGGCCGCAACTTATTATGTCGCGGCCGCAACTTATTATGTCGCGGCCGCAACTTATTATGTGGCGGCCGCAACTTAATATGTGGCGGCCGCAACTTAATAACTGGCGGCCGCAACTTAATATGTGGCGGCCGCAACTTATTATGTGGCGTCCGCAACTTATTATGTGGCGGCCGCAACTTATTATGTGGAGGCCGCAACTTATTATGTGGCGGCCGCAACTTATTATGTGGCGGCCGCAACTTATTATGTGGCGGCCGCAACTTATTATGTGGCGGCCGCAACTTATTATGTGGCGGCCGCAACTTATTATGTGGCGGCCGCAACTTATTATGTGGCGGCCGCAACTTATTATGTGGCGGCCGCAACTTAATAACTGGCGGCCGCAACTTAATAACTGGCGGCCGCAACTTAATATGTGGCGGCCGCAACTTAATAACTGGCGGCCGCAACTTAATAACTGGCGGCCGCAACTTAATAACTGGCGGCCGCAACTTAATAACTGGCGGCCGCAACTTAATATCTGGCGGCCGCAACTTAATATGTGGCGGCCGCAACTTAATAACTGGCGGCCGCAACTTAATATCTCGCAGCCGCCACTTAATCATCTGAATTATCTGACGCTATCAGTCAGACCAAAGACTCGAAGCTTTGGAGAAGGAAATCTTCACAGGTGAGCTCGCTGTTCCCGCTTTAATTTTTGGTTTGCTTAGTTCTAATAACGCCAGGTAATGAAAAATCCCTCCCTGTAGGCCAATATTGCCAAAGCTTTTGGCAGATGAGATGTATTGCTTTTAATAGCCTTTAGTACCGTAGTGTTATCATGCATAATGCATGAGGCCCCTGATTGTCTCGACTCTGCCTGTGATTATGACAAAGCGGCTGATTTTTGCTACTAAACACTAATATTTTCACGGTATGGTGTTCAAAATGTGTATGTAGTATACATGTTGTATTATTTTGCTCACACAGATAAGCTATGGATCAAGATATTATAGCCACGTATTTCCATTTGGGTCTCAGCTACACGGAAATTTTGTATGCGCTTGCTCTAAACCACCGAATCGTCATAAGTCTTAGGACACTGAAAAGACGCTTGCGTCAGCAACGTCTGTTTCGACGCAAACACTTCACTGACATTCTGGAAGTCGCTGACTTCATTTTTGATCAGATCAATGAAAGTGGAATTATGCATGGATACAGATGGATGCATTTGAAATGTCTGCAAGCTGGCAAAGTCGTTCAACGAGACACGGTTTATGCCGTTATGAAGATCCTAGATCCTGATGGTCTGCAACTTCGGAGAAGAGGCAGGCTCATAAGAAGGGAATACTTCGCAAGGGGACCCAACTACTTGTGGCACCTGGACTCCTATGACAAACTTAAGACGTATGGGTTGCGCATCAATGGGTGCATTGATGGGTTTTCGCGTCAGATAGTTTGGCTAAACGTATATCGCACGAGCAGCGATCCTAAGGTGATTGCTGGATATTACATGGAAGCAGTGAGCGCTATGGAGGGATGTCCAAGTATGATCAGAGGAGACATGGGAACCGAGAACGGGCGTGTGGCGATGATGCAAGAGTTCTTGTCGGAGCAGAATAGCTTCATATATGGGAAAAGTACTCACAATCAGCGGATAGAGGCTTTTTGGTGTATGCTGCGTAAAGAATGCACACAATTTTGGATTGATGCTCTGAAGACATTGAAGGATGTTGGCGATTTCACAGGAGACTCTCTAGACACAGGTCTTGTCCAATTCTGCTTTATGAGTTTGGTCCAGGTGTGTTGAATTATTTCAATTTGCTGTTCGTCATCCTCATGCATGTATGCCGAAATTAGGTCAATGTGGAAAAATCTAATATGGTGCAAAGCCTGTCTTAACTGTGAGGACGGTGTAAAGTAATGCCGTGCACTTTACCCTTTCCATATGACTGGATATCCCTCTCTCTCTCTCAAAAAGGAAAATAAATATAGAAAACCCACTTAATACCACTAAATGGAGTTCCAAAATTATTGATTGTCATTGTGAAAGTCTTAAGTATGTGTATGGCTGCTGCAATTTTGACTACTAATTCTAATGTATAATTCAATCAAAAGTTATGATACTCGAACATACCGAATGTGAGTAAAAGATGTGATATAGCCTAAATTTCTTATTTGTCATTTTTTTGTAATAGAATGATCTTGATAGGATGTCGTCTGTCTGGAACTGCCATCGCATACGACGTTCAAAGAATCAGAACGTTCCCAACGGAAGACCTGTAGTTCTCTTCTCCATGCCAGAATTGTTTGGCCGACGTGACTACTTGAAGCCAGTTGACCAGGAACATATCGAAGCCTGCTGCACCGAGTGTACCTTCAGGGATGGCCTTCCGTGTGACGAGGAGTTATTTGAACTCTTCATTATTTACATGACTGAACATTCTTTGGAACATCCTGGCAATGTAGAGCAGGCACTGCAGCTATACCACGCGCTGCGTGATGCCATTCGACAGGATCTGGAACAGTAATATATAGACCTATATAGTTTCTCACAATACTGTCAGTGTCGGTGATACCTGCTGCCCAGAAACGACTTGTGGATCAGTAATGAGATGAATTATTGATGTTATATGAAAACCTCCAATTTGTAAAGAAGAAGCACATGTCACGAAGTAGACATCAATTACAAAAAGGCCATTAATGAACCTCTTAAAGTTGAAATTGGTGTACTAAGTTGTCAGTTTTCTGAAATCAAGTACATGGAATTATTGAAGTAATTGAGTAGGATAAACAGCCAACGTCAAGGATAAACAGCCAACGTCAAAAAAAAAATAGCCGATATCCCACTCAGCCCAGCCAGACGTTATTAAAATATCAAGCAACAGGTTTGGGTGTGTTGGTGGGGGTGAGGGACCTTCTGCTGAGCAACCCCAGCAAATAAGGCGAAGTACACCATGTCTGCACCCCTGGACCCATTCTTAGAACATACTCGAATGCCATGAATGACGTACAGACAAATCTATGTAGATTACACTACTAATTACATTCTTACCTATTTCTTAGTTTTGTTTATGTATAAGTCTATTTCCAGGTTTTTTTTTATATATTTGATTGCAGCACTTTTGGAAAACTGCATTGTTCAAAGAATGTTCAAACTAACCACAAATGAATATACAGAGTGAAACCAACATTTCTAACGGAAATTTTCTGTGATTCCCAGTTTAATTGCCTGGCAAAAACTACTTTTATTACAATCCACGTCACTTTTTAATTAAAAACGATTAAATAAACACTTCACTTTTTTTATAATTTCAACGAGCAAAACCAAAACGCTATATCAAAACTTCAACAATATCTAACACGAGCAACTGCCTGCAAATGTAACACCTCAGTCACCAATATAATTATGCAATGAAATTTGGGACAAATATAATCCAAATGTGTGAGCAAAACGTCTTTGGAAAATCGAAAAGGTACGATTTGCTTTTCCTGTTGAATTTGTATTTCAACGGAACTAATTTACATTTTGGGCGAGTTACCTTTGCACAATTTGTACAGGACGCGGAATATGCATCGCCAAATTAAAGTGCTTTATAATTAGGATTTTGTGACGTATGTAAAATCTACAACTAAATCTCGTATGAACTTATTTATGAGGGACACATCATTCAAAGGAAACCTTTGCATCGTAGGAAAGAAGCAATATCAACAAAATATGTTTTGTGGGATGGAAAAAAAAGGAAAAAAAATTATAACAGTAGTGCCAGCCTTTGGGATTAGCGAATCTTATACAGTAACAAAAAAATCATTTCAAAATACTACAACTACAGAACACCACATAAAAGAATGTATATCCCATGAACAGAATTTGGGATTTAAAAAGGTTATTTCACTACAATACAAATGGGAAATGTCACTGTTTATGAAGAATACTTGTCCTCGTTAAAACACATAAAGAACAAAATGGCAACGCAATTGAAAAATACAACTGTTACTGAAGGATATTTCTCTTAAAACATAAAAGAACAAAATGGCAATGCAAATGAAAAATACAACTGTTACTGAAGGATATTTCTCTTAAAACATAAAAGAACAAAATGGCAATGCAAATTAAAAATATAACTGTTACTGAAGGATAGGCCTACTTAAAAAAGAACCAAAATTATGGCAATACAACTCTGACTGAAGGTTATACTGAAGGTTACTTCTCCTCAACCAAAATGGCGGCGCAAATGAAAAAAATACAACTGTTACTGCAGGATACATCTCCTCATAATACATCATGAACAAAATGGCAGCGCAAATGAAAAAAATACAACTGTTACTGATGGATACTTCTCATCATAATACATAATGAACAAAATGGCAGCGCAAATGAAAAAAATACAACTGTTACTGATGGATACTTCTCATCATAATAGATCATGAACAAAAATTATGGCAATGCAACTGTTACTGAAGGTTATACTGAAGGTTACTTCTCCTCATGATGATACAAAAAGAACAAAATGACTTTTCGTTTCAAGCACGTACATAATACAATATACAAATCATGTATAACATAAAGCACACTTCCAAATCACCTAATTAACTACTACTGCAGTGAAACAAGAGTGCATGTATGGGGATTGATATAGGTTGTCTGTTAATGAAATAGAAGAAGGGTGACACGGCTTTTAGATGATGTCCATTTGCCAGTATCTGTTGCGAAGGAGGGTGGTGAATTCTGACTTCAATGTGATATAAGGCAGTGCCGCATACGAGCGCGGAATGTTCAGAACACACCCACATGTGTGTGCTGTGGGGCAGCGAATCTCTGACTCGGTGAACCTGGTGGTGATCTTCTCTCTGACCGCGAGGTCGGACCCTGTGCAAAATCGCAAGAACAGGCCGAGCAGATTCTGATCCATCTCCCTCACCAGTCTCTTAAGTGAGGAACTCAAGGCGCCTTCTTCTGTGTTCATTGGTTTGGGAAATTCCAATATGTTCAATACCTTCCTGGTTGATGGCTTCAGGTTGTCATAAATCTGACGGAGCTGGAGTCGTGAGAGGCCGAGAGATTTCAGCTTTGGTCGCCAACACAGCGCCACAAATAGTGGTACTTGAAGCATCTCCTTATTTGCCATCTCGGTAAGTGATTTCTCGATGTTCTCGTCTGTAAGGTTTCGTCTGGCATCGTGTCGTTCCATGAAATCCATCAAGTCATCTGCATCGACAGATGAAACACTCCTCATTGCATCTTCAAGCAGCAATCGGTCGACATCCGGGAGCAATTGCATGAACGCGTCTAGTGGGTCATCGGGTGTCCCAAAAAATGCCAGTTGCATGAAAGGCAGAGCAAGCCTGACCGGCAATATTCCCTCCTGTCTGAATGCTAAGCGGATTACTTCTCCCACTGCCGACCAATGGACCTTGGTCATGTCATGGCGTAATACCGGTACGGCTACCGAGTTGCCGATTGTGTACTGCAAATAAAAGCTGTCGAAAAACTCAGTAAGTGCATCCCTCAAGACTCCTCCGTTGTCTTCAGCCATCTCTGTGCTTCCATCTGACTTCAGCATCTTCACTTCGAAGGTTGTTCCTCTCAGGTTGACGTTCTCCTCTTTCGAGAAAAATGTTACCATTTCTTGACAAACGTTGCCACGGTGCACTTTTATTTCTTTTACCAATGGCTGTGTTGCATTTAAGTCCAGTTCCACTGCTGCTGGGAAGGGGCCAAACTGAATGATACCGGAGTCGTCGTCGTTTAATCGAGCCAGTTGGTCCTCTTGAATGAATTCGTCAGGAATGTTATAGGTTGGTGGAGTGAGATTCACAGCATCCGAGTCCAACGTTGCAGCAAATACTGACTGGACATCTAATTCAACGCGGTCTTCAGCAGCTTCGGACAACAGTGGGTTGTTGGAGGGCGATGAGTCATCAGCAGTCTGCACGATGACTTCATTGTCAACTGTCATCTCATCACCTTGATTCAACGGACGGTATCGCTCCGAGTTAGGTTGCCCATGAGAAATGTGGTGGCCGTCACTTGTGCTCGGTACCTCCTCTTGGCTCGAATCAATGGCTGTTGGCATGAGGTTTTCCTCTCCTCTCCGACGTCTGTGAGCAAACATATCAGGTAGATCTTCCAGGCTGTCTTCTGCAGGGTCACTTGCTGACTTATCTTCATCCAGGTCTACTGATTTGGCCAGGAGATAGCATCGTACGTGTTTTAGACCAAGTCTGTCGATCAAATGTTGAATAGTCTCGTTCTCGTGAACGGGTTGGCTACCATGCACATCTGTGGAGACATCTAACTGGAAGTCCCCGAGCGAACCATGACAGTTTTTTCCATCTTGAAAAAACAAGGGGCAAAGGGTATGTAGCAATTTTCTTTTGGGTGTATTTTTGTCGACAGTAATGTGACGTATCCCCCCACCCATGGGGGCGCGTACCTGCTTGTACCTGGACTCTGTAGCCTCGTAAACAGAGAACCCGACTATTAGGGACCTTGAACTTGTTGATGCCTCTTTCGCTTTCTTGCCTCTCGGGCCCCTCTTTGTTTCTGCTGATTTCTGCGTGCTGTTTGACTGACCGCCGTCACTTGGCCCGGGGGCAGAACTCTCATATTCTTCCTCGCTGTCACTTACAAGTCTGGCTGTTTTTTTCCCTGACTTTCCTGCCATTCGGGACCTCAAGCTCTCGAGCAGTGTAAACTTCCTCTTCTGAGTTTGAGTTTCACTGTTCTCCTTCCGGACGAAAGCCTTAACGACAACTCGGTCACCCTTACGAGGAATGTACTCGCTGAGTTCTTCATCCGTCATTTCAATAATGACATCCTCGTCAATCTGAAACATACAAACAAACAAACAAACAAAAAGTAAAAACAAGAATCTTTTCTAGGCATTGATATACTCCGACTAGAAGGACTGACAAGGAAGACTTAGTCCCGTGACTTAAGAAAAAAAATGTGACATGCGGAATTCAAGCACAAATTGTGTGCTGTGGGTCCAAAATAATCGACAGCAGTTGGGTGTCAGGTTTTGGTGGACTAAATTGAGGTCAGGTCATAGTCAAAGTTTGCGCAAAGGGTCTCTGGTGCTTTGCTTTTCTGATTGGGCGGTCTTAACTGCCAGGTATATAATATCCTTTGATGTTATTCCAAATGTAAAATGTCACACTTTTATGTGTGGAAATTCACTTCAACCATAAACAGTATAGTTGACCAACTTTGACCTTAACCTAGACAACAATTAATATGAATTGGCATTCAAAATTGCGACCGGGTCGTACCCGATCACTTTACGAATTAAGAAGAACGGTCAGGACAGCTTTAAGAAAATTCTCAAGAGCCACCGTTGAGGAAAAGAAACGTCTTTTTTTTTTATCAAGACTCAATTAAACAACATACAGGGTGTCCCAAAAAATGGTGCAAGTGAAACGCGCCACGTTACCCATTAACCATTCAATATTTGCTACAGATGTTTATATCATCTTCATGATTACTTCATTAGCTTCGAAATGCCGCTTCTTTCATCGTATTTGCTTTAGTTCATGTAGAGATATGTTTGATTAACCACAAACACCTAAAATCAAGTTTGTGCCACTTTTAGAGTATGAATGCTTCTAAGCCCAAACGCTGCCAGTAGTTCACACATGAGAAGAAATCACCCATGTGTGAACTACTGGCACTTGCACCATTTATTTTGGGACACCCTGTATATTTGAATGAAATTAATGCCCCCCCCCCCCCCACACACACACACCCACATTTTTAGGACCATATACAAAAACCCTATGGATAGCGTCTAAAAAGGTTTTCCTAAGAAACGTAACATATTTTCCACGTTGATATCATGATTTCTCATTAGAATTTCACTTTTGTTATAAGGAAATAAAGTGGAGGTATTAAAGTAAAATCTATACCGCTTGGATAATTGGATTAGGTCCCTCCAGGAATTCTGCTGAGCACCCTTACCTTTTCGTTCTGCATTTTTTCCAATGTGTCACGCTGCACACCTCGGGCTTTAAGTACACCCCACAGCCGCTCAGACATGCTGAAATGTGCAAACAAAATTAATTTTGCAAACGCGCATTCTCAAATTTGTATCCTTGTGGAGACATTGCTTTGTTTGTTCTCGTGTACAAATAGAAAATAGTGTGGAAATCGAATTTCAAAATGCTGCTGTTCTAACCAGAATCACTCTCCTGGGTTGAAACTTCGACCCAATGTCCCTTTAATATATAAAATACTTCAATTTGCGACGGATCAACACACTTGGAAATTCCTAGTTTATGAGTAAAATCAAAATAATCTATTTCGTGAAATCCTGGTGGATACCTAGTCACCTTCAGAAATTTCCTTGTGTCGACCTTTACAATCTTTTGTTCCATATTATACCCGGGTCTCCACTAGGATACAAATTTCAGGTCATGAAAATCAAAATAAGGGCCGGAAGCCGAAAGAGATTTACAACTTAAACTTGGTAAAGAAAAAGGAAACATAGCTGTCAATAATTACAAGAGCAAAACAATGTGCAATGAAGGCCTACAGCTACCTAGGCCAAGTGCCTCAATTTGACTGATGACACGTACATTTACAAGGCACATCCAAAATGCCTGGTACAAAACGAATTTAAGATGTTAATGTTAGTAACATACAGTATGGGCTTGATCTCACCTGACGAGGCTTGCTACCAAGTGCAAATGTACGCGTCCCCAGTGTCGCCTTTACATACAAGTGGTAGCATCAATACGATCGATCGGACTGACAGACAAGACCGTGCACGCCCGGTCCCCACTGGCTGTCGAGACCACGTGGTGAACACGAGATATTAAGTTGCGGGCCGCCACATAATAAGTTGCGGGCCGCGACATAATAAGTTGCGGCCGCCACATAATAAGTTGCGGCCGCGACATAATAAGTTGCGGCCGCCAAATAATAAGTTGCGGCCGCGACATAATAAGTTGCGGCCGCCACATAATAAGTTGCGGCCGCCACATATTAAGTTGCGGCCGCCAGTTATTAAGTTGCGGCCGCCACATATTAAGTTGCGGCCGCCACATAATAAGTTGCGGCCGCGACATAATAAGTTGCGGCCGCCACATAATAAGTTGCGGCCGCCACATAATAAGTTGCGGCCGCCACATAATAAGTTGCGGCCGCGACATAATAAGTTGCGGCCGCCACATATTAAGTTGCGGCCGCCACATAATAAGTTGCGGCCGCGACATAATAAGTTGCGGCCGCCACATAATAAGTTGCGGCCGCCACATAATAAGTTGCGGCCGCGACATAATAAGTTGCGGCCGCCACATAATAAGTTGCGGCCGCGACATAATAAGTTGCGGCCGCGACATAATAAGTTGCGGCCGCGACATAATAAGTTGCGGCCGCCACATAATAAGTTGCGGCCGCCACATAATAAGTTGCGGCCGCGACATAATAAGTTGCGGCCGCCACATAATAAGTTGCGGCCGCCACATATTAAGTTGCGGCCGCCGCATATTAAGTGGCGGCGATGTACAAAAAAATTCTGACGTGTTTGCAAAAAATATATTCATCCCTTAGGGACTGGCACTATCCGGCTTCCGTAAGATATAGAGTTGGCAGTCCGTACCATTGGACTAAGCATAATTTCACACTTTTTAGTGGTTACGAAATTAACTATAAAGTTTCAATTTACCCCAAAAGAAATACAATTTTTAAATATAAAATTCCCACCCTGGATTTGAACCCACAACCCCCAGATTTAGAGTCGGCAGTCCGTACCATTGGACTAAGCATAATTTCACACTTTTTAGTGGTTACAAAATTAACTATAAAGTTTCAATTTACCCCAAAAGAAATAAAATTGTAAAATATAAAAGTTCCACCCTGGATTTGAACCCACAACCCCCAGATTTACAGTCGGCAGTCCATACCATTGGACTAAGCATAATTTCACACTTCTAAGTGGTTACAAAATTAACTATAAAGTTTCAATTTACCCCAAAAGAAATCAAATTTTTAAATTCAAAATTCCCACCCTGGATTTGAACCCACAACCGTTAGTCTAAGAGTCAACAGTCTGAACCACTGCACTAAGCATAATTTCACACTTTTGAGTGGTTACGAAATTGACTATAAAGTTTCAATTTACCCAAAAAGAAATAAAATGTTAAAATGTAAAATTCCAACCCTGGATTTGAACCCACAACAATCAGATTTAGAGTCAGTAGTCAGAACCACTGCACAAAGCATGATTTCATGCTTTTTGTGGTGACAAAATTAACTATAAAGTTTCAATTTACCCAAAAAGAAAAAAATTTAAAATGTAAAATTCCCACCCTGGATTTGAACCCGCAACCTCCAGTTTTAGAGTCAACAGTCTGAACCACTGCACTAAGCATGATTTCATGCTTTTTGTGGTTACGAAATTAACTTTAAAGTTTCAATTTACCCCAAAAGAAATAAAATGTTAAAGTGTAAAATTCCCTCCCTGGATTTGAACCCACAACCTTCAGATTTAGAGTCAGCAGTCCGTACCATTGGACTAAGCATAATTTCACACTTTTGAGTGGTTACGAAATTGACTGTAAAGTTTCAATTTACCCAAAAAGAAATAAAATGTTAAAATGTAAAATTTCAACCCTGGATCTGAACCCACAACCTTCAGATTTAGAGTCAGTAGTCTGAACCACTGCACAAAGCATGATTTCATGCTATTTGTGGTGACAAAATTCACTATAAAGTTTCAATTTACCCAAAAAGAAAAAAAATTTAAAATATCAAATTCCCACCCTGGATTTGAACCAGCAACCTCCAGATTTAGAGTTGGCCGTCCGTACCATTGGACTAAGCATAATTTCACACTTTTTAGTGGTTACAAAATTAACTATAAAGTTTCAATTTACCCCAAAACAAATCAAATTTTAAAATTTAAAATTCCCACCCTGGATTTGAACCCACAACCGTCAGTTTTAGAGTCAACAGTCTGAACCACTGCACTAAGCATGATTTCATGCTATTTGTGGTTACGTAATTAACTATAAAGTTTCAATTTACACCAAAAGAAATAAAATTTTAAAATATCAAATTCCCACCCTGGATTTGAACCAGCAACCTCCAGATTTAGAGTCCGCAGTCCGTACCATTGGACTAAGCATAATTTCACACTTTTGAGTGGTTACGAAATTGACTATAAAGTTTCAATTTACCCAAAAAGAAATAAAATGTTAAAATGTAAAATTCCAACCCTTGACTTGAACCCACAACCTCCAGATTTAGAGTCAGTAGTCAGAACCACTGCACAAAGCATGATTTCATGCTTTTTGTGGTGACAAAATTAACTATAAAGTTTCAATTTACCCAAAAAGAAAAAAATTTTAAAATGTAAAATTCCCACCCTGGATTTGAACCCGCAACCTCCAGATTTAGAGTCAGCAGTCTGAACCCAGCACTAAGCATAATTTCACACTTTTTAGTGGTGACGAAATTAACTATAAAGTTTCAATTTACCCCAAAAGAAATCAAATTTTAAAATATAAAATTCCCACCCTGGATTTGAACCCACAACCCCCAGATTTAGAGTCGGCAGTCCGTACCATTGGACTAAGCATAATTTCACACTTTTTAGTGGTTACAAAATTAACTATAAAGTTTCAATTTACCCAAAAAGAAATAAAATGTTAAAATGTAAAATTTCAACCCTGGATTTGAACCCACAACCTTCAGATTTAGAGTCAGTAGTCTGAACCACTGCACAAAGCTTGATTTCATGCTTGTTGTGGTGACAAAATTAACTATAAAGTTTCAATTTACCCAAAAAGAAAAAAAATTTAAAATATCAAATTCCCACCCTGGATTTGAACCAGCAACCTCCAGATTTAGAGTTGGCAGTCCGTACCATTGGACTTAGCATAATTTCACACTTTTTAGTGGTTACGAAATTAACTATCAAGTTTCAATTTACCCCAAAAGAAATACAATTTTAAAATATAAAAATCCCACCCTGGATTTGAACCCGCAACCTCCAGATTTAGAGTTGGCAGTCCGTACCATTGGACTAAGCATAATTTCATGCTTTTTAGTGGTTACAAAATTAACAATAAAGTTTCAATTTACCCCAAAAGAAATCAAATTTTAAAATTTAAAATTCCCACCATGGATTTGAACCCGCAACCTCCAGATTTAGAGTCGGCAGTCGGTACCATTGGACTAAGCATAATTTCACACTTTTGAGTGGTTACGAAATTGACTATAAAGTTTCAATTTACCCAAAAAGAAATAAAATGTTAAAATGTAAAATTCCAACCCTGGATTTGAACCCACAACCTTCAGATTTAGAGTCAGTAGTCAGAACCACTGCACAAAGCATGATTTCATGCTTTTTGTGGTGACAAAATTAACTATAAAGTTTCAATTTACCCAAAAAGAAAAAAATTTTAAAATGTAAAATTCCCACCCTGGATTTGAACCCGCAACCTCCAGATTTAGCGTCAGCAGTCTGAACCACGGCACTAAGCATAATTTCACACTTTTTAGTGGTGACGAAATTAACTATAAAGTTTCAATTTACCCCAAAAGAAATCAAATTTTAAAATATAAAATTCCCACCCTGGATTTGAACCCAGGGGCGGATCCAGGATTTTCAAAAAGGGGGGGCACAAAAACTTTGTGCGCGTTGCACACATAACGAGACTGAAGCGCGAAATCCCTTGCAGGCAGGGTTGAGGGCACTGGAAGCTCTACGATTTTAGATGTTCTCTCCTACATCATGAGTATTTTAAGCCATTAAGAGCAAAATTCACAATGTTTATTTTTTAATTTTGATAATACTTTTTTTTTTCTATCAAATATAGAATTTAAAGTCACTGTTGATGTTAGTTGAAAATGAACCCCAAAATTAGAAGGTGCTGATGACAGCCCCCGGGTGAAAAAAAAAATGAAATTTGTTATTTTGCGAGCGAGCGGAGCGAGCGAGCCAAAAAAAGTCATGTTTACTATTAAAACATACATTTCTACCCAGAAATTTGCCTTGCAAACAAAGAAAATAAAATAAATTGAATTTCATTAGGGGACAGCCTGCCCCAAGCAAGGGCGGATCCAGAACACAATTTTTTTTGGGGGGGGGGGCTAAAAACAAATTTGGTCCTCCCAAAAAGTGGGTCAAAAAAATTACGGCGTGGGGTTCGGGGCCCGCTTAAGGGCCCCGAAATTTTTTTGGATTCTATATGCTCTGTGGTGCGATCTGAGGCAATTTCTGACCACTTTAACCAATGTTTTTTTGAGGAAAAGATGGTGGTGTACTCATTGCCTGCCTTTTTTGCGATGTCATATAAAAAAATTAAAAAAATTGCTTTCGGTTTTTTTTTTTGGGGGGGGGGGGGCATGGCCCCCTTTGCCCCCCCCCCCTGGATCCGCCCTTGGCCCCAAGCAGCCCCTACCCCCACCCCACCCCATTTTGGTTGATGTTATTGTCGTTATTTTTTTTTGCTTCCATCATCATTAATAATATCCTTTTCGTTTTGCCCCTCTCCTGGTATTTTCTTTCTTTTACCATGTAATGTAATTGGTGATTTTAGTTCAATTCGTATTTTCTCCATTATCATCCCGTTTGTGTGTGTGTGTGTGGGTTTGTTTATGGTGTAAATCGAGCTCGCGCGGATGTGATTGGCTTCACTTTTGAGTCCCAGTATAATGTGTGGTAACTGCGGTCATATATACTTAATTTGTATATACACTTTGCATACACTTTAACCACCATTTTTTCCATGTTCTTTTGAAGTCTGCAGGCTAAATAATTTAAGACGAAGTGAATCGT